TATATATATATATATATATATATATATATTTTATTTTTATTGTTATTTTTTTTTATGTAATTGCGGCTTTTTTATCTCACAATTCTGACTTTTTTCTCACAATTGTAAGTTTACATCTCATAATTCTGACGTTTCTTTCAAGAATTTCATGATACAAACTTGCAATTCTGACTTTTAAAAAAATAATAATAATTGTGAGATATAAATAGCATTTTCAGGTTATAAAGTCTGTGAGACGTAAACTAGCAATTCTGAGAAATGAAGTCAATTGCGAGATATAAAATTGCAATTCTGATATTTTGTTTCTCAGAATTGTGTGATATAGCCTGAACAAGTAATTGCACGTAGCCTATACAGTCAGAATTGCAGGATATAAACTCACAATTGTAGGAAATAAAGTCAGAATTGCTAGTTTGTATCACGTAATTCTGAGAAAAAAGTCAGAATTGTGAGATAAAATGTTGCAATTACTTTATACAATTATATACAATATAATTATTTTTTTGTATTCAGTGGTCGAAACAGGCTTCCGTAAGATAATTGCTGGAATGACAGCATTGTAATATTTGAACACTGAATTTAATTTAGTCTTCTTTCTTATGTGCATTCTGAATTGTGATGTCTTCTTTATTGAATCTAAACACAAAAACTGTTTTTCCCCCCCAATATCTATTCCAAACTCAGCAGGTGCATTATTGCTTTAATTCACAGTTCATTCACAACACATCTTTCACAATTAGTAATATTTTCTAAGACTGATGAAATCGAATCTTTTTGTCAATAACTGGTACATCAACATTGATTGCCACAGTAATGGCCATATAAAGCATGAGGTCAGTGCCAAAAGTTTCTTATTCAATAGTATAAAAAGACCCCTGACCAAAAACCTTTCTTTGCTTCTGAAACAGACCCAAAATCAGCCCTCACTGTGTCTTCTCTCTCTTCCTTCTCTGCATAGAAAACACCAGTTTCGAAGCTGAAAACATGACCAGAGACACAGCGCATAACATCACAATGCAGCAAGAGGAATTCACAAGCTTTGAGATTTTTGTTTTATGTATTTTCTTTGCCACCTTTGTTGTGGGTCTCGTTGGAAATGGGCTTGTCATATTTCTGACTGGCTGCAGAATGAAGACGACCGTCAACTCCATTTGGTTTCTCAACTTGGCAATTGCAGACTTCATTTTCTTGTTATCCTTAATCTGTTATTTAGTTACTGTCTCAGTTTTGGACAGGTGGAACAGTGATTTAATGATTTTCATTTTATTCATGCTGCTACCACTAAGTCTGTTTACTAGTATTTTTTTTCTTGTAGTTATCAGTCTGGACCGATGTGTGTGCACATGGATGGTGGTTTGGGCTAAAAATAAACGAACTTTACTTAAAGCCAGGATCATCTGCATAATTGTGTGGGTTTCATCCTTCAGCTGCAGCATTCCTTTCTTTGAAGACATAACGTCTCTGGTCACATATGAATTTATAGTGGGCTTCCTCATCCCCCTTCTGATCATTGTAACATCATATATAGCTATTGGAGTACGAATCAAACGCCTCAAAATGGGAAAGCAGCTCAAGTCATACCATGTCATTATAACTGTAACTCTGGTATTTTTCATATGTTGGTTTCCATACTATGTTTGCCTTTTTTATTCAATAACTGCAGTAGGAAATAACCCGAGTGCCAGTGATCAATACATATTTAAGATTGTCAGTATCTACCTGGTTTGTTTAAACAGCTGTCTGAACCCCGTTCTCTATGTGTTCATGTGTGATGAGTATAAGAAGAAGCTTAAACAGTCTCTGCTGCTGGTGCTGGAGACGGCTTTTGCTGAGGATTATCTGGACTTTAAGGCAGATGCAAAAGGACGAGCAGGACATGGAAACCAAACTGAAATGTTAGATATGTTGAAAACTGGTCCCTAAATAAACCTGGATCTAATCCAGTATGTATATAGTCCTTATCTAGCAACTACAAAATGTATGTTTGATGCATGACTGTGTGTTCAAGTATAGGCAAATTAATATATTATATATGAATCCAAATATGCAAAAGCTCATTTTGATATGCTGATTTCTGTTTGAACTTTATTCTGATTAAAACCACAAAGATTCATGTTACCTGCTGTAATGGCTCCTGAAGGTTTTCTTCTGATTAAAAGAATCACGCTTCAACTGATGTCTTAACGTTTAATGTCTTCTTTGCAAAGAGTTTAAGTATCGGCGTCATCGCCATCTTGATCCTGTTTCGACATCACTTGAACATCGTGACACCCTTTGGATATCAACATCTTGACATCTTTACATCATGACACCGTGAAAAACTGAAACAAATAAAATTACATTCAGATACATAACCTGTGAGTGTGTTTCTGTTTTTACCGCAGTTTAACCAAGTCTGCTTCTTACTGAACCAATATCAATACACACAGTACATTAACTTTGCAAATTAACAGATGAAATCCAAAGAATAAACAACATACCGTGTGCGCCTTCTAATCAGAAATCCAGGAGACATTAGAGGACATTTATGTAGGCATTCCTTCTAACAAATAATCTTACAATCGATCAGCTCTTAGCATTTGTGCATTTCTTTGTGGATCTGATACTCACATGGCTAGATCACGTGACAAATTCAACTAACGTTACACATATTTCACCTGCAGGTGTCACTATTACCCAGTATTTATAATACTCAAATACAATTTCCAAATGAACATTCATAATACATTACACACCATTTGTGAACTAAATACCTTTTCACAAAATAAATGACTGAAATACTTAAAAGAAAATACAACCTTTTCTGCGACAGCTACACTGCCACCAAAATTACAAAGATTTGTGTTCTGATCAGAATCAAATAAATCTGGTAATTTTTCTATAAGCTGACACTTAACCTTTGAACACCTTTCAATACCTTTGTAACAAGAATTATTTTAATTTTACTTGATTCTTCTTGACCAACTCTTATTTAGATGGTGAGATATCTATTTTGCATTATTCAGTCATTGTTTAGGAATTGTTCTCAACTATTATCACCAATTTTTGAACTGGACGCTCAAGGAAAGATGTTTGCGTCAAGCGTTCACCTTTCTTTCCCAAATTACTTTGACCCATTTGGAGTTTAGCTTTCCGCACTAAACCATCATCGTCTGCACTTGTCTCAACGTGAATTCACTGGCAGATGAAGTGGAGCGTGAACAGAGAAATATATGAAGCGTATTCCATGCTAAAATCAAACGTTCATTCGAACGACCGATCGAACATCTATCCGAACGTCTCGAGCTTTGAGCGTCTTACACTGCGGGTGCCCACGTGATGCCAGCGTCTTGAAATTAGCTGGTGTTTAAACATTTAAGGAGCCAAGCTGCTGTGTAAAGACTATAAATGGACATTACAAACATTACAATAATGATGTTTTATACCTAAAATAATACATTACAAGCATTACAATAATGATATTTTATACCTAAAATAATACTCAACCATTTCCTGCATCCTGCTGTACTTCCCGGCATAAGTCTTTAAAGGTGTTGTAGGCTAATAAGTCGTTCTGAGTAATAAATTGAAAAAGCTCCCACCTGTATATGACTAAACAAAATAACATGTAGTTTACTTGAGGTTCTGCTATAAATGTGTCTATTAAAAACATTAATTTAAATTAATTAATTATACAATTTTTTTTTAAATGAAGACTTCCCGAGTTTTTGAACGGAAGTCCCGAATGACTTATTAAAGGTCATTTAATGAATTTTAATGATTTTCAATGCCCCGCAGAAACCCTGCCTTTGTTGGAAATGTAAAT